GATATATATGAATATATAGGGTTTTAGAGTTTTAGGATTAGGGTTTATTTTCCAGACAAGTATTCTGAACACTCACACACACATATACATACATCTCTGAACAGGTCTAGGCACGAACGTCAACATCCCGTGGCCGGCTGAAGTGGAAGGGGTGGGTGATCCGGAATACCTTGCAGCAATGCGGAGTATAGTGGTGCCTATACTGCATGCGTTCAAGCCAGGACTGTTGTTTGTACAAGCAGGGTTTACTGCGGCGGTCGGGGATACTCTGGGCATGCGCGTCACGCCGGCTGGGTTTGGACAGATGACCAATATGCTGAAGGTAGGTGAACTATGCACATACAAGGAAGAGTGTGTGGGTGATTTACTAGTCAGATATGGTGCAGGCACGTCTTGCATGCGTGGATGTCAATGTATTGTACTCGAGTGTGGGGTGTGTGTGTGGGGAATAAGTTGCATTTCATTTGTAATTGTTTAAATAAGTACAATTCGATGCAAATTCCCAATCTGGAATATATCTGCACACAATCACATATCACTTTCCGTGTTGTTTCGAATTTAATGTAGAGGCTGAACAGTTTCGCTTTATATATATAAAAGTATAGTACTGCTTATGTGTTGGGAGTATTCTGTGTACTCTTCGCACACAAAAGTGAAATTGGTAGTTTTGAGCGAAGTATTTCCGATTTTCTGTAGTACGCCGATAATTAATCCATTTCGAAACTAAAATTAAGGGTTCGATGCCGATTGTTCTTCTGCAATGACTATAGGTCCCATCCCTACAACGACAATTTATTCACCCACTTCCCTTATTAATTCCACAGGCTGTGGCCGGTGGCAGAATTATCTTGGCTTTGGAAGGGGGTAGCAATGCGGAGTCAGTGGTCGAATGCGTAGTTTCCTGCACGAGTGTACTGAGCGATGGTAAATTGTGCACAAGTGTTTGGAAATATAATGTTTGGTGTGTATTGTTTGTATGTTTGTTTGTTTTGCTAACTCCTGTGATTTTTTCTTTTCGTGCATGTGTTGTGTGCGGGTATTTAAACACACTTAGGATCATTTAGATCTGACTTGAGTACATAGGAATATTTAGTCCTGTCTAAGTATATATTATCTTTTAGGTCTGTCGATGTGCATGTTTCTGTATCGCGAGTAAAATTCTTTCGTTTTAGATGGATGCTTCACCATGCCTGCCAATCATTAATATAGGCTAATGTTTTCGCTTTACCCAACATTGGTCATCGCCCACCCTGACAGAATCCCAACACCGAGCACCCGTACCACATTCAATACTGATCACATTTGTATTCCCTCCCCTTGCACACCCCACAGAAAGTCTACCCCGGCTGTCTGATGCAGCCATCGCCGCTGTGCCGCTAAGATCGTGTTCTGCGATGCTGCAGAAGGTTATCGATGTGCAGTCTAAGTACTATCCCAGCCTGGAACGCATGCGGGACTTGACTGGGATCAGCCTACGCGAGTGTTCAAGGCTAGATGATCGCGATGTGCACGAGGCGCGCGAAGTGGTGAGTTGCATGTGCATGCCTACGTATGTGTATGCATTCTACGTTTGTGTATGCAGTCTACCTTTGTGTATGCATTCTACATTTGTGTATGCATTCTACGTTTGTGTATGCAGTCTACCTTTGTGAATGCATTCTACATTTGTGTATGCATTCTACGTTTGTGTATGTATTCTACGTTTGTGTATGCATTCTACGTTTGTATATGCATTCCACGTATGTGTATGCATTCTACGTTTGTGTATGCAGTCTACGTTT